CTACCTTATAATTAACCTCAGAGGAAAACGGCTAAACACTTCACTCAAACATGAACAGGGATATCGAGTCACTGACTAATTTGAGTTAGCATGATGACACACAGACACACTGGTGGCCAACTGGGAGGGCTGGTTTTACAGTTCCATTGTGAGCTTTTAGGTCACGTCACTCCCCAAGGGTAAAAGAAAAAGAAACAAAAAAAAAAAGAAGAGTGAGACAGAGAGAGAGAAACGCCTCCAAATCAGAGAGGGGATAAAGTTCACAATCACTGAGGCACCTCGTATTTTAAAGACACACACATACACACATACACACATACACACATACACACATACACACATACACACATACACACACACATACACACATACACACATACACACATAGGCAAGGTGCTAATGATCCCAGTTTAAACATGCAATTTTATGACCTCTCAGTGGGTTAATTGGCACTAATTTGGCCTAATTTGAGCCCAAGAGAGAAGGTTTACCGGGTGACTCAACAGAGTAAAGACAGAATTCACCAGAGTCAGACAAGTAAAGGGCCTGAGTAAGCTGTCTCTTTTATGTGAAAACAAGAAACAAAAACATGAATCATTTTCAACTGAATTCATTGCGTTGGAAGTTTGATGGTACTTAATCCCTGGTGAATCAGTGACCTATCTGACTGGTTTCTGAGAGCCATGCGTGGCTAGAGACAGATTTATGATAGTGAAGTGTTAAGGGCCACACTGACATTCTTCACTGCAGAATATTTGGTTCTATGGGATTAGTGATGCAGTGGGAACTAACAGAGCAAGGCGGTGAGCTACTTCAGCAAAGGAGCTAACAGCTCAGAAAACAAGCCGGACCAGACATACTAGTAGCAGTAGAGAAGCTTCATCAGCGTCCTTCAATTCTTTCCGTGCCACAATGTGTGCAACATGGAAAGAATGATGGTATTTGAAATTTAAAAAAGAGTTTGTGAAAATGCCAGTGCAAATCGTAACAAAAAAAGTGCTGCCATGTTTTGGTGTTATTCTATAGCAGAATGAGTCTGTCCTCTGCTTTATGAAGACACCATCTCCACACACACACACACACACACACACACACACACACTAAAGCTTTTAAACATTACAATAGCTCATTACATTTTCATATCAATAAGTACTGTCAACATAGCTTAGAGGACATCATGAATTTGTAGGTCAGAATTTAGTCATTTTTTTAATGCTATACTTAAACTATTACAGAAGGGAGGGGAGGAAAAGTCCACTGTTCTCTTTTCATTAATGAAGGTCCTCTGTTTTGGTGTGCCGTGTCCACCAGTCAACAGAAGTTGTGTTGAACTAACATCTCACTGGCCTGAGGCGCACACACATGGAAAAGCAAACACACCAGTTTGTGTGAAAGTGAAAGATGGGCCCACCAGGGCTGCTTCCATGAGCTAGAACTAGCCTCAGTTTTCCCTGCATAGCTGGACTGAAATCCATTTAGTGAATCAATGTTTTATTTAACGCCGGTTTTACTTTTCCATGCATTCCTGTAGGCTACATGTGTCTCCCCATGTGCATGCACTGACCTAACTCAAATCAACTAGGGTATCAAAGCTGTCAGCCTCCATTGGTTGAAACAGAAAGTTGTTTATTAAATTGGTAACACCATGTGCAAGGACAACTTTCTTAAGCGTCTACTAGAAAAATAAATCCCCCTGCTACTCTTTCAACTGGGGAAAAACTAGCACAACATGTTGGAGTTAGCCACAGTTGGATAACCACTCTCTCCCTCTCTCTCTGTTCAAGCATAAGAAACCTCGTTCTCTGGCTTTTTTAGATAAAGTCCCTTTACCTGCTGAGTTAGGAACACTCTTCATGTAAAGCCATTTGGCAGCTACAAGGCCAGGAGCATGAATGAGGGTCCGCTTAAGGTCAACAAGCATTATTGAGGATCTTTATCAGTTTATCTGGACAGTGTCAAGGCAGCACTTTAGGGTCTCGCTTGGCCACTTTGTCTTAATCTCATAGAGCTATACTGAGTCAGTGAAGCTCTGTAGGGGATCCTAATGCATGCTCTCGGTGACAGCATCAGGTTTCAGGGGGTGTTTGACTGGAATTGGGTTCCAGACCACCTAAAGAGAAGGCAGACGTGGAGAAGTCCAGAAATAGGAGTCAACACTAAAGGTTATGAAACCGTGCTGTTTAATGTAGACCCTGCTGTTCTCTCTCTCTCTGTTTTATTTATTTTTGAACAGAAGCCTTTAGTCTCTCCACACACACACACACACACACACACACACACACACACACACACACACACACACACACACACACACACACACACACACACACACACACACACACACACACACACACACACACACACACACACACACACACACACACACACACACACACACACACACACACACACACACACACACACACACACACACACACACACACACACACACACACACACACACACACACACCAAGTTAATATGCACACACACAGCTTGTGTCCCCAAAGGAAGAGGATTGGGGGAGGTTGTCAGCCGTGTCAACGCACAAGAAATTCAATTAAGCAGACAGCAGGATGTCTCTGAAACCCAGCCTCCTTGGAGCGCAATATGCCCTCCAACAGTCCCCCACTGCTCCTCCCCCAGGCGTCCCAGCCAACCCCTTACCATCGCTCAGCCACTCCCCCAACACCATCAAAACCTATTGAAAGACCTTTGCTGGGCCCCCCTTTCATACCCTGTTCCCCCAGTGCCTCTTTTCCCCCTTAAGAGACTCACTTCTAGATTTACTTTCACAAACAATATGAAAAACTATCAAAATTGGCATTGAATTGAAAAACCTGGAGCCTCTATACCGGTTGGTTTTACTCAGAGGACTACGGCATTTCATCCTCTTCCTCCCATTTGTGTGCGTCTGGCAACCTGACAGATGCTGTTCATTTAGCACTTGTGCGGCGATCCTCAAGCTTGTCTCCTAAATGCCCAGGGGAGCCACTGGCATTTACACAGCATCAAATAAAGTGACTCTGCAGACCTCACACCGCGAGCACATCTGACCTCACAACATGGTCACCCCACTCAAGTTTCAAGCAGCCAAATGAATGAATCAATGCTGTTTAAAAAAAATAAAGAAATCATCAGGCCTGTGGAAGCTCTAGTCAAACTTCAGGATATTAAATTGTAAATCTAAAAAAAGGATTAAATACTACCTCTGGGTGCATTCATCCAACTTGTGTAATATTAGATTTGAATCAATGTAGTAATTGCTTTGTTGTAGTGTTTATTGATCGCCCTCTTGAGTTATTTCACAACACCATCTAAACAGTAGCTCTGTTTTTCTTCACGCACGAAGTTGCTTCCAATTATCTAAATCCAGAAAGATTTCTGATAATCATCTATGTTTGGGATAAGATAGCAGCGATGCAATGCAATGCAATGCAACCAATGCATTAGCAATGCATTGGTTTTAACAATGCAATCATTTAGGCTGGGGTTTTCCCATGCTAGCTGTGTGATGTGTGCATCTTTACGTGTATCTGCACATCATTGACAATGATGAACACACTGAGCCAGGGCCTCAGGGGCACACAATGTCACACACATCCAGCATAACAGCAGTTTAGAGAGGTGCTGGCCACTGCAGACACAATATTGTTATGTAATGACAGCCAAACACAGCCTAAGAGTGTGCGTGTGTGTGTGTGTGTGCGTGTGTGCGTGTATTTGTGTCTGGATTCTCTCAGATGTCCCTCAATGCATGTGTTACCTTCACGGATTTGAATCCACAACTTCAGGCATGTCCAGTGAATAATAAGTGACCTGTGTTAATCTGATTTGTAGCAGCTAGCTTTATGCAGCTCCTTCTCCTGACATAAATCAGGGTGGAATAAAAGAAAATAAAGTTTCAATGGGATGGGACATTTTTTCCCCAATATGAAACAGAATTTATTTTCCATGCCAAACAGATCATGGCAAGTTTTCAGCCAGTGTCCTGGCTAAACAAGGCTTAGTGTCCTCCTGTTCCATCAGGGCTTTTTCATCCGGCTTGGAGCTTTCAGCCGTGTATTTAGGTCTTAAAACAGGGACATTGATTTCTGGTCCCACGCCATGCATTTCAAACGGGCCTCCAGCAGACATGAGAGCTCTTCCACAAACCAAGGACGACAATGATTATCAGCCACCAACCCCCCCAAAAAAATCTATTTGCTAGAGCCCCCTCCTTTAAAAGCTATTTAGATAAGTCCTCTTTCTTAAGGACCACAAGTGCAGTGACCTAAATCAGTGCAGATTGAAATGATGGGGCTGTGTGGGACTGAAAAGGCCACTTAAGGATGCAGTGTGTGCATGTGTCTGTGTGTCTGCGTTATAATCACCCCAATCAAGACTTACAGTGGGGTTAAGCCCAGACCCCCCATGATAATCCTTCACAGCGTTTTTGATCAGCATATGTTGTCGGTGCAACACACGCTAACTATATCATCTATTAACATTGAAACCAAGAAGAAGGGTGTACAAGGTCAGTGGCAGTTGTGTATTTTTAAAGCTCAACTACATAGAAATATATATCTTTTGAAACTATCATTTCAAGAGGAGTCAAACGAATGATAACCTTGTTTCCTCTCAAACTTGGGTAACAATTTATTTTACATTCTAGCTTTTAATGCTGTTATTGAGATAGGAAAGCGCCACCGGTCAGACTTGAACCCAGGCCGACCCTTTGAGGGAAACATCCTCTGTACATAGAGTTCGCAAACTAACCGCTAGCCCACAAGTGCCCCAAAAATATGGGTAAAATTTAGTCAGTCATTCTAAGCTCCCAAGAGTATTCTGGACACAAACATTAAAATATAAACTAAATAAACCAATGTTCGCTGTAAGGTAACAAGGCAAAACAACTCTTCTTTTCAAACTAATCCCTTGCCTGTTTGGTTGGACTCTAGGAGAGGCATAGATGGGCCTGTGTCAAACAGGTGTACAGGTGGAGAGGTGTGTCTACTCACCATTAAGTCCATTGGGGATGCTCCTATGGTGAGGTGCTGACAGGTCATCCATGGACCTCCTCATGGTGGGGCCCACCTTTCCGTTCTCTGTGCTGGGCTTGAGTATGTGGTTGTGGTTGTGGTTGTGGTGGTCGGGGCTACCAGCACTACCTGTGCTGGACGTGCTACTACCATCTCCAACATCCCGGACCGTGCCGGTGCCCCCGTTCAGGTTGGTTAAACTGGACTGACTGTCTATGGAGCTTCTGGAGCCTGCTCCGTTCCTCTCCTCGTCCAGCATGAGGATAATCTCCTTCAGCTCAGAGTTCTCCCTCAACACGGTGTCCTGGTTGGCCTCCAGCTCCTTCAACTTCATCATGTAGGTCCCCACCTCCTTCCACATGGCACTGGCCGTGTACCGGCCGAAGCGCTGCCACTCCCGGGACAGCTTCTTGCCCTTTTGTCGGTCGTCGTCCAGGAAGCAGCACAGCTCTCGGAGCTCCTGGTTGTCGTCCTGCAGCTTCTGGTTGATCTCCTTCAGGCTTCGGATTTCGTGCAGGTGCACCTGCAGCCGCCGGTTGATGTCTTTCATCATGTTGCCATGCTCGATCATCAAGTTCATCTTCTCACCGTCCACCCTCCTTAATCTCCGGACCAGCTCCTCTTTGCTGCACCGGAGCAGCTCCTCGTCCGTCAGCTGGCTCAGCTCATCCTTCTGTCCCTCGGATGGATTTTTAGCCATGACTTGTCTTGGCTTTGAGTCTCAGATCTTTAAACGGGTGGCTCGAAAAAATGACAGTCAAAGCTAACCAAGCCTTAGTTGCGGAATAGTGTGGAAACACATTGTCCAAAATATGAAAGTATCTCTTTGCCCTCCGCTTCAACAGGCCGTAAAGAAAATGAAAATAATGTGACGCTATGGCAGCCCGTGCATGAACTGAATGCCCTCGAAAAATCCTATATGAATCTCCCAAAAAATGCTAAATATTTACATTCCGTCAAACCAGAACACACGTGATTTTAAATCGATTACCAGAGATTCTCAATCAGGTCCTGTCTGATAGTCATGTCAGCACAACAAACCGCGTCCCATTGCAATGTGCACCGACTCCGCTGGACATCGCTCCATTCAAATGATGGTGCACAGAAACACGCAAAAAAACACACAACTGCTGGATAAAAGATAATATGAGCAACAAGAAGAAGAAGAAAAAAAAAAGCGTAAACAAGACACCTTAAAAAGCTCCACTGTCCAACCCGGCGATGCTCTCCTGAACGCGTTTCCCCAAAAGCCTTTCAACAACCCTGCTCGGATAAGCCTCTTTACTGAGGTGCTGTTGTTGGTGGACGGAGGATTGAAAGCGCTTTCCAGCCAGCCAGTTCGGAATTAGCAGCCGACCCCCCTCCTTCCCGTCCAAACTCTCGGGTTTGAAATCATTCAAGAGGATTTCGGCCAAGGCGGCCAATCAAGACGCGGGAGCGGAGTGGGCAGCAGGTAGATGAGAAGTGTAGTGAAGTCTCAGCCCTCTTAAAGGAACAGTAACACAAGTTCACCACTTACGCAAACATATATTTTTTTATTATTATTATTTTTAAACTGAGCACTACAGATATTTTTAACAAGCGTTCATTTTAGTTTAAGTTTCATTGTGAATTTCGATCTTTTTAGTCATACAGGTAGCCTATTTCCCTGTTTAGCCTCAGACTCAAACAACAATTTGATTAACTGCTTATTATCCTAACTTTAATTGAACTGAGATTAATAAATACAAAGAATCAACAAAAAAACGTCTGAAGAGAAGTTTAAATGAGTAACAATTTGGTAGTTTTAATCCTCAGAGAATTTCACTTTAACAGGTGCTTTTGAGAATTATCGGCAATGTCATAGCGCCCTCATGTGTACACAGTCAGCAATAGCACAACACACTCAGTTTGAATTATCAATGTACAATAAACATTCTGCAATAAAACCAGTTAGCCGGGCATTGAAGCATTAAAATGTTTATTTAGTGTACAATAATATAAACAAAAAAAAACATTTACTCCACATTTACAAAAGAAAATATTAAACAGTTTACAATAAACCATTTATTCATTTAGTAAGGATGTTTCTGAATTTCTATAATAGTATTTGAGATACAAAACAATGTGTGAAGTAGGTAGGCTATGGAAAAAGAATAACACATTGCTAATGTTCACTTGAACATGACCATTGCTAATGATACTACTATTTGAAAAAAAAATTCTGCAATCCTTCACACACAAAAATCAATATATCGCTTAGCCATTTTTCTTCTTAAAAGAAAAATTCACAAACTTGAATTAAGTTTATCAAAAACATTGGAGCACTAAAAAAGCTTTTAGTGCACAGCAGTCATTTTTAATCTAGTCAGAACAAACCAACAACCCAACTTTTCTATTTATGGCTATGGTGATTTTGCTTTGTGTTATGTTACTTTCTGTATTTGTTTATTACTTAGTATCCCTGTGTATAGAGCACACTACTCCACTCATCAGTCTGAGTGTGCCAAAGTCCATTATTTCAAAGGTCTGTCTCGGTATAAAGGGTGAAGTCAAACCTCTAGAGCAACTTGACTATCACCACTTTAGGATAGGACATGGTTCTCAAGTTCCACTTTGGGGTTCAGAGACACCAAAAAACAAGCTTAAAAGTGCTTTTAATTTTTTTCCAAAATCTGTTTTTACTTTGTGTCACATAAGCTGGGTGCAGGGTACAAAGGTATGTTATTAAGTCTCATTGTTGGTTATATTTAATCAAATAAATGTTTTAAATGATTGTGTTAGTGCCAGTTCATTTACCATTTATATTTGAGGCACTGGAGGGTTCCCAGTAGAGCATACACAATAATAATAAATAATAAAATAATAATAAAAATAATTGGATCTACCCATTAAGATCACAGACTTTATAAAAACATGGACAACATGACATCTCACCAAAATTGAAACCAAAACACTTTTGAGCTCCCAATACTCTCTGTCTGCAGTGAAGGACACAAAGCCTGCCTCCTCCATGTTAACAGATGGGACAAACTTTAAAATAAAAAAATACTCAACAAATACATTTTTTACAAACATACTTTCACTCGTTTTAGTTATTTATTTTTGTGATGATTTATGGGTTTTTTGGTTGTTTTTTTTTAAGTCCACTTTTGTTAATTCATGCTTTAAAAAGGGGTATTAGGGCATGACTTACATCTCATGTTGACAAATGCGGCCCTTAGGTGCTATGTTAAACTTTCCATAACTGTGAGTGCAAGCTTCAATTGGACTGTGCGGACCTGAGGGATCTTTGACATTTTAACAGCAAGTTGAATGTATGTTTTGGTTAGCAGAAGTAAAGGGAGGTCAATACTGCAGCTCCACCAGCTGATCCCTCCTGCTCACACTCTCTCTGCAGGATCCAAGCACCCTCAGTGGGGGCACATTGGCGTCATTGAAAACAGGAGGCGGGGAAACAGGTGTTATGTACTTCTTGATGTGCTAGATGACATAGCCTAATATTTGCTAAGTTAGAACATTTTGATGGGTAAGTGAAATAAAACACCCTCTATCTCAAAGGTATGTTAATTACTTGGGTGGGTTCCAATAGCTGTGTTTTTTAAATGATCTGTCCTATCAGGATCCCCTCTTTGCCCTTGAGTCTGCTGTGAGGAAGCCTTGATATGACAAAAGGAGCTCACCTGTGGCCTTTGGATGTTACCTCTGCTGGTTGAACACTGGAACATATATTTTTGTGGTGGTAAAACAGGCCTTTTTTTGGATAATTCTACCTTTCCAGACATTGGTAGGTTTATCTGGCTGTCTGTTAAAGCCTCCATCAGCCTTGGAGCCCTTTTGTCTCAACAGGCAAAGAATGAGTACAGCCCACATCCAAGTCCAAGGAAAGGAATGAAAGGGAATTTCAGAAGGAGATAGGGAAATACAATTAGCCATTTTCTTATAAAAAACTAACACACCAACTCTAAAGGTATAGTTACTGAGAATGAATTAAGCTAAAGAAAACAACAAGCCAGTCCTTGCTCCATACACCCCATGTGTTGTTGTGCTGCATTAATGCATGCACTCAAAATGATTAAGTCTTAAAGGGAACATAAATGTCCATCCATCCATCTTCTGCTTATTCATGGGCCGGGTCAGGGTGACCACCTTTTTACTAAAACACCTGCAGCTGGGCATGGTCAAACATTTTCCCTGTTACAAAACAAGGCTTAGACCACAAGAGACAAGGGGATTATCAATATGAATTATTAGGTAAATTATAAGAGCAATTTCCTTCAACTTGAACATTACATTACTGTATTTTAATCAAGAGTCTGACTTTGCAGGTTCAAATGTTTTTTTTTTAAATTTCATATTATCTCTGGAGCAAGTTGTACTTACAGAAGAGGGGGCTGGCTGACGCTTGCAAGTACTGCTCACACTGACACCTTGTATGAAGAAATGAAATAAAGAAAGGATAGGAAAAAAAGAGATTTCTCTTAATAAGTAGCTAAACTTTGTGTCATTGGCGGCACTTGAACCAGACCCAGTGTTAACGGGCTCTTATTGGAGCTTAAATGAGTGATAACCTTGAAGTGTGAAATGTCTAATATTGTAGTGTAATAGGTAGGCCTACTTTTAAGATTTATTTGCAAGGCCACAGCGCCCCCCTATGTACACTGTCAGTAATATTCAAAATAACAACAGTTTGAGTCAAAAACATAACTGCATCCTAAACTGAGTTTATAAATAAAACCAGTTTACAAGCAAGGCAGGGTTGGTCATTTTCAAAAAGTAGTATGATTTTGAAAGTAACATTCCCTCAGTGCTCCGTCTTTACCCCCTCCCCTCTGTGCTCCCTCAAAAGCCACGCCCCTCACTTACATGCACAAGCATTGGTCCAGAAAGGAGGACCTCAGCTCATGCTTTGAAAGTGGGCAGGTCCGCGGTAGAGAAGGAGCAGGGAGGCGTGATTGGTTCATCAGATTGGTACCTCGTGGAAGACATTGGTCGAAGTTTTTACAGGCTTACAACTTCTACAGATGATGTATTTTCTTCATTCCTTTTTCAGAGCACATGAGTTATGAATGTCTGTCAGGACTTAAAGACAATTTCAGCCAAAATCTTAAAAATTGTATCTGTAGAAAATGACCAACACAGCCTTTAATTGAACATTTAGTAAAGTGCACCCACAGGCATTTTCTTTCTAAATGAGTGCAAATCATTTTTAATTGTTGATAATTTGATAAAATGGTATTTGGTAGTTTTTATTATACATTATACATTTGATATACATCAGTATTACAGGTAAATAAAGCGGTTTGGACCCTCAGTGGTGAAAGGTCTAAGAAATAAGGGCTAATTATATTGTCACAGTAAATAAAAAGTTTCCAATATTGTCATCCTTTCATACAAAATAATCATCATAAAAGTTAATAACCTGTTCAGCATCTCAGATTCTATTTCATCTGCATAAAGAAGTATTAATGATAGGAAGAGTGTTTAAACGCTTTTATCACAGAGCAGCAATCTCAACATTAGTAAAAGCAAACCAACAACCCAGTTTTCCCCACGTAAACTAATATGATTTATCCTCAAGTTAAACTATTGTTTGCCCATTTCGTTCTTATAATCCCTGTATTTGATGGAGCACACCACTCCACTTTTTGGCCTGAGCGCGCCAAAGTCCATGATGTCAAAGGATTGCCCCGGCTTCAGGGTGAAGTCAAACCTCTGGAGTAGCTTGGCCATTACCACTTTAGCCTCCATCTGTAATCACCCAACAAGCCATCAAATAAATACATTACGTTTTCAAGTATGTTTGTGTTGCTTAATTATGACCGTCAATTACCTGAGCAAAGTTCTGTCCCAAGCAGGATCGTGGGCCGAGGGCAAAGGGGTAGTAGCAGTAATAGGGCCTTAAAAGAGAGATAAGAGACAGCCCAGTTTAATATGCATTACTTATTTTATCTATCTGGGTCAATGTCCAAACATGTTGACCAAAAAATAAAACTTAATTATATAAAAGTTGTGTGTTACTTACTTTGGAGCATCTGGGTGAAATCTTTCTGGGTCAAATTTAAGCGGGTCCTTGAAGAATTTATCCATTCTCCCGGAAGTGTAGGAGCTTAACTGTAACATTTAAATATATAAACAATAAATGATTACTGTTTGTTTCTCAAAACATTTTGGTCATGTGTTTTTAAGTGATAGGTGTCCTTTACAAATAAAGGGGGAATCGCACTATACAACACTTTTTCTGTTCTGCTAACATTTCGTGTTTTAGGAAGTCAAGCCAACTCATGAGTGGATGACTCACAAGAAGTGTGACTCCTGCGGGTATGTGGACACCGTCGATGACCATATCTTCCAGTATGTCACGTGATGTGCCTGGAGCTGTTGGGTAAAGCCTCAGAGTCTCTTTGAGAACCTGGGGAAAAGTTACAGTGTGAGGTCCAAATCTTGTGTTTCACTTCAAAAACAAAA